GCCTAGGCTGTATTATATGTGAGATACTTTCTTATACAGAAAAGCACCAGACAGACAGCATATTTCTATCATTTGTTAACATATATATGATCATTCGTATGGCTAATCAGTTTGAGATGCTCTTAAAATTAGAGGACATAAAATGTATAATAATGGGAGGTCCCCTCTGTAGAGATTATCTGCAAAAATGCAAAAGAGGCTTGTTAAATGCATAAAATGTTAAATGGCTGTAAGATAAGGTGTTGACATCTTTCTTAACACTAGCCCAATCAGCCAATACCTCAGATGTCAGTGAGTCTGGAGGACTTCAGAAAGAACTGCTTGCGTATCCATGATTCGCTAGTGCCTAGAAGTCACCTTCCAAAGGTGTGCATGTCGACTTTTCCTGTTGCAGGAGACAAATGAAGTTAATCTACTTGAACTTGAACATGCAGGATACATTAGTTTTTCTGCTTGCCTCCTTTGAGTCTCACTCAGAAGTGTTTATGGCTTTTTACACAGTAGTTTTATTTCTTTTTGCACCTTTTGGTGGAAAGTGCCTTGAAATAAATGAAATGAGAATACTCTGGTACTCTGTTCCATCATAGGAGTAAACAAGATTGAAATTTCTAAAGCATAGTAATTATTGCACACTAAAGTGAGAATTTATCACCTGAATCATGGTTTCAGTTTGGTGTTTGAGACTCCTATAGTATATGTAGTTGAAGAATAGTCACTCTGAGGTGAGCAGTATAATGTTTTTTTTTTTCTTCTGTGCTATTACTGTTAGTTTTGGAGAGGAGAAACCTGGGTTCCAGAAGGATTCTTACATGTTCCATTGTAAGGACACTGATGTCATCAAGAGAATAATATGGGAATTCCCTTACAGAATGTTGCTGTCCAATCTCAGAATGAACAAAAGACCAAATTTCACACCTGCGTTTGAACACGCTGGATAGTGTGCAGGGGACACCATGCACGGGGACAGTGTGCTCACCAGCCTTCACTCATTGTTTTTTTAACATGTCTTGTTCTGACACCGTGCATATTTTTGTTTCACAAACATTGCTTTTTTTCAGATGCTTAGTGAGCTGCATTGCCAGCAGAGGATATGTAGAGTCAGTATAAATCCTTAGCTTGCTAGGGTACTCATGTGCATACTTAATTGTAATTCTTCATTCAGGAGCATTTGTGCCCCAGCCACATATCATCTGAGAAGTACAGGTTGGGTAGCTTTTGGCTGCCTGCTGTGAATTTGTTAGTAAAAGTTTTCATGTTTTTTCCCCCAGCATGTCTGAAAGCTCTTTTTCTGCCCCCACTTCCCTGGAGAGGTACCACAAGAGAAAAGAATTACCGACTGTGCATGTCGGTGTATTAGAACTGGAAGAATAGGAAGATGTAGCTGCACTTTGCTTTTGCTCTGTCCCCAATCCAGCGGTGCCATAGCATAATGCCAATCCACTCAGCTGACAGCTGCAGCATTCTTGGGCCCTAGGATGAGGTGACTGTGGGTGCCCTGTGCAATATGCAGCAGCTCCCGCGCTGGACCTCTAATGCCATTTTCTCGGTCAGGATTTAGGGAAATGCAGTGAGAGGAAGCCTCCAAGGGCTCTGAGCTGCACACTCTACAGAGGCCTTCTGCACTGGGTAATGGGTGGTGATGGTACACAGGAAAGAACCTTGTCATCCCTGGGCCCTTTATGGCAGTGCCATGGTATGGAACTCTTGAGCATTGTTCACAGTTCCCTTATGCTTCCAGAGGGTAATGCTAAATGGTCCAGTGGCAGACATCTCTGGTATGCTTGAATATGAACCCTCTTGCATGGTAAGAGGGGCTTGGGCTGTCACCTGCCTATCATGAATGAGTTCAATTTTGGAATGCCATCTGACTTGAGATTTATATGTACATGAAAGAACAAAGAATTTGAATGGCCTCTGGTATTCTGGCCTTTTGCAGACTCTGACATAGTTCTTTGTGCTCTCAGTAATATGTCCTGAGATTATCTGCCTGTTCTGGAAGCCAGGAATGGCTCTTGTGGATTAAGGCCTGGGCAACAGATCCATTGATGGGGTTATATGTGAACCTGGTGGACTGTAGGGCAGGAATTTGTGGCCTCATGCTGGGTATGAATGTTTAACAGATTGTGGTTGTCTTCTGTATCTGCAGCTCATCCATGCCCCCTAGATGAGGGCCAGGTTAAGCATCATTGTGATCCTAATACAGAAGAAAACTGCAAAACTGTGCCCAACTGTAACCAAGAAATGTGACTACAGGATGCTACCTATCTGACTTTTTTTTTTTTTAATTTAAAAAAAATTTTTTTATGTGTATGAATGTTCTGCCTGGATGTGTATCTGTCACCATGTGTGTGCCTAGTGTGCACAGAAGTCAAAAGTGATCATCAGAACCCTTGGAACTTGAATTATGAAGAGTTGTAAGCTGTGATGTGAGTCCTAGACATCAAACTCAGATCCTCTGTAAGAACAAGGGCTCTTAATCAGTAGGCCATCTCCAGCTGCTTACATGTGACTTTTCAAGGTCCTGATGAAAGTTGCCTTGCCTGGCCTTTTTGAAAGTCGGTGGAGGCTGGATTGGGGCCTTTTAGAGGATGGCTACTACAGGGTAGGCGGGACTATTCATTTCTTGAATCAGCTTTGCCATGCATGACTGCTAGCCTCCGAACGCAGGCCCTCGGTGCCTGGTAGACAGTCTCTAAATGGCTCTAAACTCCCTTTTCCTACAGGCACATCCACGGATTTCACCCACATGCGTGCACACAGGAATTGTCCCTCTTGTCGGTCATATAGACAACCCCTCCAACTGGTTCTCAGAAATAAAACAGGCTGTCCTGTCACCTAGAACTCTGGGTTGGAAAGAGAGAGTAGTGGTGGTGTTGGTAAGGTTCAGCTGAAGGCGCCAGCATCCAAAAAAAGAATAAGCCATTCCAAAGGCTGAGGGTCCATTTTTGAACAGACCTAGCCATGCACACGCATCTTTGGTCATCATGAGGTCCACTCCCTGGCATCCTGTGCACTCAGACCTGGCTGCTCAAACTCTTCTCTACCACACATGTGTCTTAAAAGGTGGATGCAAATTGTATTTTCTTTTCAGGCAGGATTTTTGTAGCCCAGTCTGGTCATAATGGTGCTGTAGGCAGCAACACTATATCTGGCTCCTGGAGTCTTATTTTTTATAGTTGCTTGTCAGTAACAATGGAGTACAATCTAATTATTCAGTCTGATTTATTTGGATATTTCATCTTTAGAACTGTGTGTTGTTGGACTATAGAGGAGGTTGGGGTTACATGGAGTCGGAGTCTTGGAGGAGACTTGGGCCCAGGGTAAGGTCTAGGGGTTGCTTTTGTTCACGAACCCAGTCATCTGGACCCATGTTGCCTCATTTCTCAGTAGAATAGCCAAGGATCTAAGAAAGATAGGGTGGCAGTATAAGCAGCAAGATAGGAGTCAGTCAGCTCAAAGTGTAGTCCCTGTGCCAAGCATTACCTGTCTGTCCCCACATCAAATTTTCGGTCTCAAATTGCAAAGATGGTTTTGTCAGTTGTATGTGGAGTACCTCACAAGTATCAATGAGAAGCCCAAGAGAATGTCCACCCCAGCTATTGCCAATAGTTGGTGTTGTTCACCTCTCAGCCAGACATGCTCCTCTTTCAAGCAATTGGCTGTACACGTACCTTCTGCTTTAGTGACTGTGGGGAGCCTGGGGAGGAAAGCCCCAGCCCGTATCTACAATCCTGTCAACTCCGGCAGTGTACCTCTCTACCCTGCTGTTGAGGCTCTGGTCTGAGATCTATACCAGCACTCTATGGGTATACTCCTGCAGACCTCATGTGTATTGCAGGCCCCTCCTCCACTCAACCTACCTAAGGTAGCATCTCTATTTTTGGCCACCTGCCCCAACAGGTGACAAAACAGTGACACCTCAAGAAAAAAATGCTAACGCTTCCTGCTCTTTGATTCTGGATCTTCCATATTCAGTTTCTGAAGAGCTTCACATCATAGTGAAAGTGTATATAAGTGGAAGAAAACAGACTTCTTAGTAGCATACACTTAGAGGCAATCCCTGGGCCACCAGTGAAGCAAACCTTTCTCTGCCATCATTGTGTCCTACTGGATATCTGATGTGGATGAAAGACTGACCTTACTTTTAGGTCCTGACTGTTTTCCCCAGAAATGGGGATTGAATCCAGGGCCTCACACCTGCTGAACACATGCTTTACAACTGAGCTATATCCTGGCTTTAGATCCTTTTGTTTTTTAAGTACAAATATGTATAGCCTCAAAGACCTGCTTTGGACTGGGTTGTAGAATGCTTAGAAGCCATTCTGTCAAGGGTGGAGATAGAGGGCTATGGGTGCCTTTGGTAGGTGTGTCCCGTTCAGCCTACAGCTGTGTGGAAGAGAAATTTATTTAGGATAGAGGAGGGATGAGTCAGTGTAAGGAAGGAGACTCAGAAGCCTGCAGGTCAGGTCTAGCTGGGACTAGAGCCTAGTCCTTGGTCAGTGCTCAGAACATTGCCCCGGATTTCCAGGTCACTGCCCTTAGCCCCTGTGTTACCAGTGCTCTCACCAGCCCATTTTAAAACTTGACTGCCTTAAAAAGTTTTACTATCTTTGTATTTGGTTATGGATTGATCCCTAATTCTTACTAGACTAGAACACAGTCCTGTGAGCATGTCTATCACTACCGGCAGAAAGAACCAGAGACTCTCATACATACTGCTTTCTTTCCTGAAAAAGTTATTTCTGGCAGGTTTGGGGCCACAATCCCCCAGAGAATTCTCTCCCCCAGCCGGAAGTCCCAGTGGTACGCCTCGGGCTGCTGTAGCTGGAAGGTCCCTGGCCCTGCCTCCCCGAAGATCAGGGGGGCGGAGACTCTGTCCGGGGGCAACGCGTCCTGGGAGAGCTAGACGGAAGCACTGGGACTGACACGTGGACTTGGGCGGTGCTGCCCCGTGGGTTGTCCTAGGCCTGAGGTGGGAGGGCACTGTACTGAGACACAACAGTGCCTATGCCATCCCAGCGCTCCAGCCCGATGCAGCAAACCCCAGAGGAGACCCGCAAGACCCCATCTGCAGTAGCAGAGGAGACACTATGGTCCAGGTGAACTGAGGTGTGGGTGAGTGGGGCTGAGGCAAGGAGGACATTTACATTTAGGGAGGGAGTTGAGATGCTACTTCATAGGACCTGAGTTCAGGGGGCACCAGACTCTAGGGGCTGCCTCCCAGCTTCCTGCCACTTTCACTCCTGGGATTGGCATGCCCCTCCCTGGACAGCCCTAGCCCAAAAGAAGGGGGAAAACACAGATGCTCAGCCCGATAAAGGGGCCCTCCTTTTCTTACCAGATACCGAAATCTGGCAAATGGCCCTTTTGCCCCTCTTCCTGCCAGTGATTCTGAGGTGTGGGAGGCAGGGCAGTGTTTGATGCTTGATAGGAGTCATGGGCTGGACAGATGCTCACAGACTAAGGATCCAGGCAGCAGCTCCATATCATAAGGCTTCTAAACTAGGGAGGAAAACAGTTACCATCCTCATTCATACTCCATTCCCACTGCTTCCATTGCTCTCCAGGTAAGTAGCCCCACAGAAACCGGGAGCAAGAAGGTGGCATCTGGCTATGTAACCTCTGTGAGGGTTCAAACAGGAGCCCCAAAGAGGGGGACCCAGGCTACAAAGGAGCTCACACCCTGCTCTGGCTCCTATGGTCCCCAGGTGGAGGTTCCGGACCCAGGGCCCAGAGCAGTCTTGATACCTCCCGGTCACCTGAGGCAAGAACCTGGATCTGCTGAAAGGAGAACCTTAAGATAGTACCACCACTGGACCAGATGAAGGCACCACAGGAGGTCATAGAGAGGCAGAGCACCAGGTCACAGCCCTGCCAGACAATTAGGGGAGGGCCAGATTCAGTGTGCCAAATGGGGAGACTGTGTGCCTGCCCTTACTAGCTCTCTCTTGCTGTCTGGCTCACCACCTTACTCCCTATCCCATGCTTATCCAATGCCTCTGCTTCACCTGCTCCTGGAGGCACCACCCTGGGCTTTTCTGAGAACTGTAAACTGTCCTGCCAGTTTTGCTGTAGGTTACAATTTAATGGCCCTGCCTGGCCCTTGCTTTACTGCTCTCCCTGTGTAGTTGCTCCAGTCACCTCTGGCAGAGGTGGTAGCCGAGAATTCTGGGAGATTTTGCAGGGTCAAGGTCATTCTCAACTCATGTGGGGGTAATAGTAACAGCACTAAATACTCTATCTGCCCACCACCTCCTCCATCCTTTTTCATGACTTGGGACGCAATGTACTCCTCAACAAATCTTGGAGTGTGAGGAGGCTGATGGAGACTGAGTTAGGGAGATATACCTCTGGAGTTCACTCTGGTCCCCTGGCCACTGGTGACAGTACATTTCCCCTCTCTGAACCAAAGGTCACGTGACCACCTGCTTGCTCAGCCCCGGATGCTGTGCACAGGCCATTTAACAGGAAACCAAGGCTGTAGAAGTCTGTGAGGAAGTGCCATGCTTGCTGAGAGTGGCAGACTGAGCTCTGGCTCCATCAGGCAAGTAGAGCTTTTCAGGCAGTCCTGACCCAAGCTCCTGGTCCTAAAGAGCTTTCAGCAAGATGGGGGCTCTTGACCCTGGGGTTCTAACTAGTCAGGCAGCTGGCCTATAGGGCCATCTTATTTTGTGTTACCGGCAATTACTGAGGATGTACCTTCATTAACCTAGCTAATATTGCCCACCCAGCTGAGGGAAAAGGTCTTGTTCTTGTCTCCAAGGGTGCTGGGATGTAGCAGAAGGCTGTTAGGTCCCAAGAAACCTGGGAGAAATGGCTAACCGAGGTGCCTATTTACATATCAAAGCTGCCAGGCTCTCCCAGCACCACAAGTAACTGTTACTGAGTCCTGGCTCCTCTTAGCACTTCTTACTTCAGCCCCTGAGCTTTGTTTCCCTTCCCTCAGCTTCTCTTTCCTTTAAAAAACCAGCTATTTCTACCATGTGTTCTGGTTTTTCTCCCTCGCCTGGTCCCTTCTGTTTGCCCTCTCCTTCTTTTCCTCTCTCCCTTGTCTCTCTCCTCTCATTACCCATTCTGTTCTGCTAGCCATGTTCAGTCTGGACTCTTCCAGATGCCTCTATCCATACTCTCAAATCTACAAATAAACCTTTTCCTCAACCATATCTAGGAACTGTCATGTCCTCGTTTTCATTCAGACAACACTTTGCCAAAGCCCTCTCCTACTCCTCTAGTCAGGGCACTGGTTGCCTAGGTTTTCCTGACTTCCCATGCTACCAGGAAGCTAGAGACACTTCTCATCTGGAGGGTGTGAGTCTAGCTAGCTTCCTGTTTTTAACTGGTCTTCTCCAGAAAGTAACAGGGATGGGCCATCATGGGTGTACCTAGGGAAGAGTGGAATGCTGGGTGGGTCCCTCTTGAACACAAGTGGCTCTCTGCTGCTTTAGTTCCATAAAGGAATAAAGCGCCTCATTAAAGATACCTCTGGAATCTTTATGTGGCTTTTCGTGGGTGAGTTAGCATTGCTCCTGTGCCCCTGGTGTGATCCTCCTGCCTCTGAAACAAACCAGCTGTGCTGCATATAGTGTCCTCACCTGCTCTGCAGGTGGGGCAGCACTTGAGGGCAGCTTGAATCGCTTGACTGGTCACCTGAGTTCCCAGTAATCAATGGCAGTATTGGCTCAGGACAATACCTGACAAGAAATGAAAGCAGAAAGCAGGAGGTGATGATCCCCTCCTGCCTGCTAGCCTATCCATGCCTTGTCTTCTCTTACTATGAAACAATAGTGTCTGGGATTCCCAGCCTGAGAGTAGCTGGAGCTCTGAGTCTTCCCCCTCTACCAGCAAGGAACTTGTTGATCTCATGCTGGGCAAGCTCACAGCTTGCTGCCCTCCCCAGTGCCTGAGGTCTCCAGATACGTGGCAGAGGGCTCAGCCTTTCTTGGAGAAATCTACTCAAGAGATTTCTTCCTGGCTCTGGGATTCAGAGGTTCCTTGCCCACACAGTGGAACCAGGATGGCCATCACCAGAGCAGACCTCAGAGGTTTCCCACCTCCCATGAGCTCTCTGGAGACACTTGGCTCCATAGTCTGGGGGCTGCTGCTGGACCCTAGAACCCCACAGTTCTTATGGAGGAGTGTAGGTGTAATGCCCCCCCCCCCAGGAGCCCACCTCATCTGTCTCGCTGTTACCTCCTCTCTGTTCTGATCGCTGCCCTTTGAGGCCCATGCCTCTTTCCCCCTGCTGGACACTGATCACAGAATTTGGGCTCCTGGCTTGTGGCACAAAGTCTTCTCTCTGCCATTTTATTTTGACTCTGCTGCTCTCATGAGCTTGTTCATTCTGCCTCCTGGCCCTCTCTTTTGACTCTGCTCCTGTTTACCTGTGACTCTGTCCAGCACTTACTCTATGGGGTTCTGGATCCACGCCACCTGCAGCCTTGTGTCTCCAAGCTAGCTGGAATCTGCTAGTTTGTGCCTTCCCTGCTCTGTCTGTGCCAGTGTCGCCTGCCTCAAGATTCTAGCCTACTTCCAAAGGACTTGTGTCTAGCCATGCTTCCCTTCTATCTGCCTTCTCCCAGAGAGGATGTCCTCCCTGAAACCCTACCTCCTCCTCCCAACTCAGACTCATTTGAGCACTCATCTCCCCAGAGGGTCCCACTGTTATGACTGTGCTCAAACCCATTTTATATTTTAAAAGTCTAAACTGTAGATTTTGTCTAGAATCACCATGAGGATAGTTAAGCTCAATCCCCAAACGCCCCAAAACAAACTCTCCACTGCTGTCCTAGATGGATGGTATGCTTATCACCATCTGTGAGTCAGTGTGGACATTCTAGTGGCTGATGACTGGCTGGCCAGTGCTGTGTGTAATATCCCTCTTGATATTTGTTGTGCAGGGTGTCTTTAGGAGGAGGGTCGCATGGGCCAAGAGCCATTCTCCACTGTCCTATTGTGGCAGAATCAGATCAGGTTTGCCTACCACACACTGTTAGTCACTCAGACAATGAGCTTTTACAAAAGAGAATCTGCTTGCCAAGTGACCATCCACTGAGACAACAGAGCAAATCTCAAATCGACCTCCCACTAGAGACAGGGCTCAATGACTGAATACTTGCCTAGCAGGAGTGAGATCTTAGGTTTGATTCCCAGCACTAACTAAAAAGAAAAAGAAAGAAAGAGACAGAGAGCAGATCTCTCCCTCAGTAGAGGGCTAGGGTCTTTACAGGCTGAGGTGAGAGAAATAATGTAGACCATAGGTCTATGCATGTGTGATTAAACTCACTAACAGTATCCAGACCTACATGTCTGTCATCACCGTCTTTCCCAAAATTGCTGATATCCAAATTCACTGAAAAGGAAGAGCCAGGACAGGAGGCTGGTCTGGTCTGGAGGGCATACCAGAGTTTCTGTTTCACTATCAGATTTCTTCAGTCAGCAGAATTCTCTGGGTGAATGGTAATCCAAAATTTGAATATTTAAGAAGCTAGCAAAAGATGCCTTTAATCCCACAATTCAGGAGGTAGAGGCAGGAGGATCTCTGTGAGTTCAAGGTCAGCCTGCTTCTACACAGTGAGCTCCGGGACAAAATAGACTCTAAGAAAGAAGAAAGCTAGAGTGGCTCATGTCTGTAGTCCTAGCACTCAGACAGCTGAGTCAAGGGGGTTGGTTGCTTTGAATCTGAGGTCACCTTGGGCTCTGTTATTCTAGTCTAGTCTACACAGATGAGGGTTGGGGGAGCAGTAAGATGTGGGTGGGGCAGAGAGAGAGGGCACTTTGCTTCCTATCCTTTCATCCAGCTAAGGCCACCAGTCTACCATATGACTTTGTGTATACCAGGAAGTTGTTACCATCAGAGCTCTTCTCAGGAAGCATGAACTGGCTCCTATAACTGAGCCACGTACCTCACTCTTCCCTTCTTAGCTGGGAGCCAAAACAGGGTCTGCTTCTTTCCCTCTGAGACTCTTTGCCTCTTCACTGTCAGCTGTGCAGTAAACCCCACTCAAGTGGGAGCCCTGAGATCCCAGTTGCAGTGTTATTTGAGATCTGGATGCCCAGCAACCTTGCCCAGCCAGAATTCCTCCAAGGATAACTACCCTGAAGTTCTCTATCTTCTCCTGACTATGCCATGCCCCCTTCCCGGAAAAGCTCAAGAGCTTTCCTGGGGTACTTTGAGGGCTGGCACTACTACTCCCTGGGAGTCCTCTGCTCCCCCTGAGTTGGGTTCCCCTGTTATAGAAAATTGAAAGCCTATGAATGTGTATTATTAATAGCCTATAATTATTGTGGCGGTTATTATTAACCCCCTACAGTATCAATAAAAGACACAGACACCTGATAGGGTTTTTTGTTTTTTTTTTTTTGGTTGTTTTGAGACAGGGTTTCTCTGTGTAGCCCTGGCTGTCTAGGCTTGCACTGTAGACCAGGCTGGCCTCCAACTCACAGAGATCTGCCTGCCTCTGCCTGCCTGAGTGCTGAGATTACAGACATGCACAACCTCACCTCACCAGTGAGAGACACACATACATATACTGTTTGTTTGTTGTTTTTGAGACAGGTTTTTTGTTTGTTTGTTTAATAGCCCTCCCTATTCTGGACTCACTTTGTAGACCAGGCTGGTCTCAAACTCACAGAGATTCGCCTGCCTCTGCCTCCCAAGTGCTGGGATTACAGGCATGTGCCACTTTGCCCAGCTACCAGTGATAGATTTTTAATAAGCCTTATTTCCCCTGGGGCTGGGCATATATAAATCCCTAAACTACCTAATTATCTCCCAGTCCCACATCCATGCCATTTGTAATCATTCTTATCTGAGCTACTTCCCACCCAAAATAATATAAATACTCGCATATGCTTTCCATCTGGGCTGCTTCTTTCCAGCCATGCCGATCCTCAGAGTCAATTTCTCCCAGCCACATGGTACTTCTTTACGTTAACCCATGGCAATCTGCTTTCCTTCCTTCTCTCCTGTACCCCTCTCTCCTTCCAGTGATCCTTCTTTCCTCCAAGCCTGTGAATTTTAGCTCTGCCTACCTCACTTCCCGCCCTGTCCAGGTGTGTAGGCATCTATTCAACCTATAAGAGATAATTTTGAGGCAAGGATTACAAACATCATTTTGGGTACCCGAGTGTCTGCTCATAGAAGACAGCAAGCAGACCTCGGGAGCAAAATAATTAACATTAGGATATAGCACCAGACCAACCCCCAACATTCCCCTGCTTGGCACATTGCCCTGAAGGTTGTTAGCTGTCTGCTACTTTTGGATCCCTTTCTGCAGTCCCACAAGAAACTTGAGAATATGGGCCATGCTAGTATCTGCTCTCAACTTGGGATCCTGGTGTGGTCCTGGTAGCCAGAAGAATGGGCTCAGGCTCTGAGCCTGTGAGTAGACTATCATGTATTTAACATGCCCCTATCCTGAAGGCTGTAGTACTGTTCTCAGCCCCTGTGTTTAGAATTGGCCTTATGTTCTGGAAGTCAGCAGAGTTGGTGCTTTCAAATGTTTATTAGCCTGCCAAAATCCCCGCCAAAGAGGTTAACTTAATTCCCAACCATACTGTATGCATGACCACATTCCCTAGCCCTTGGGAAGGCTAGTGATCAAGGCTAGCTATGGACCCTCGCCTGGTCCTGATCCTCTCTCTGTGTGTCTTACAGGCCTGAATGCCAGGCATGGACAGGAATGCTGCTCCTGGGTACCTGCCTGCTGTACTGCTCTCGTGTCACCATGCCCGTCTGTACTGTTGCCATGAGCCAGGACTTTGGCTGGAACAAGAAGGAGGCTGGTATCGTGCTCAGCAGCTTCTTCTGGGGCTACTGCCTGACTCAGGTGGTGGGCGGCCACCTTGGGGATCGGTAACCAACCTCCTCTCCCCACTTCTCAGGCTTGAGGGGGACCATTACCTGGGTGCCTCAGAGAGGTGGTGTGGTCAGTCCTGCCTTGCACACAGGAGAGGGAGGGGCTGATGGGAGAGGATCAACAGATATCTGGGGAGGAGCTTAGCTTTTGGGGAGAGGAGGTCAAGTATAGCAGCTCTGAGGCACTCTGCACAGAAACATGAAACAGACAGGGCAGACTCAGCCCTGTATACCATATTAAGCTCTGGATCCCTCTAAAGGGCAGGTCACTGCAGTGTCCATCACAAGGGCACTTGTGATGAGCACTGGTTAGTACAGTGGTTAGTGATAGTGCCCTTCAGCCCTGTCAAGTAGCCACTCCATCCTGGCCCTCCCTGTGTCTCCTCCAGCATCGGAGGTGAGAAAGTCATCTTGCTGTCAGCCTCCACCTGGGGCTTCATTACTGTTGCCACACCACTGCTTGCCCAGCTTGGCAGTGGCCACCTGGCCTTCATGACGTTCTCCCGAATCCTCACCGGTCTGCTCCAAGGTAAGGGCCATCTCCAGCTTCCTCCCTCTGATGCTGCCTTTTGACCTTGTCACCAGGAAGACTAGAGAGAGGAACATGTACACCTGTGTACCCGCATGCTACCTTTTGTTCAAAAATCTGTTCTGTATAACTAAGATATTTATTTTGAATGACAACCCATGTCTATTCATTCAGGGCAGGGATTTGGGGGGCGGGGGGGCTTGCCATATCTGTGTCATCTGTAGACAAAGAAGAGGTGATGGAGCTCCCCAATCCTGTGGTTCTCCTTCATAGGGTGGTGGGTATTGGCCCCAGGTCCCATGATCTCAAGCAGCAAGAACTGCCTTCTGAGGAGCCCCCTTCATTAACATGGTGATAAAAAGTTCCAGAAGGGAAGCAGGATGGTGGTTCCTGCCTCCCTGCTATGAGTGATAACAACAAGGGAGGCTGTGGGTTCCTCTGTCGCACCCCCAAAGAGACCTCTCAAGGAGTCTCTCCAGACTGAAGTTTAGAATACAATAGCGAGAATACTTGAGTTTTTTTTTATTTGTTTGTTTGTTGTTTGTTTTGAGACAGAGTCTCATTGAGTGTAGCCCAAAACTCACTACTTAGACCAAACTGGCCTCAAACTCAGACCAAATCTGCCTGCCTTTGCCTCCAGAGTGCTAGGATTAAAAGAGTGTGCCCAGCTGTTTCCAAGCTTCTAAGCTGCCTAGGAACCAAAGGGAATCCTGGGAGGAAACTGCCTCTAAGAATAGGTAGAGTTACTTTCCCGGAAGGATATTTATGTGTACATGGCAGACATATAGAAGTATATGGCTAACATATGAAAGTGTCTGACAGTGCCAGAACACAGTGGAGAGGCTGCTGTGCAGTCTCTGTGCGCACACATGAATGTGTTAGTGGGAGGACTGTCAAATGCCACCAGGGAGCTGATGCGGGGCATGTATGTATATATGTGCACGAACAACAGTCTGGATGTAGGGTAGTATGTCTTGGGGTAGAGGTGTTTTGCTTTGAGGCAGAGTGCTCTGCAAGGGATGTTTTATGTCACTCTGTATAACTCTCACCCTGAATTAGTTTGGTTCCTAATGTTGCCAAAAGCCCTGCTGGTCCCTTATAGCCCAGTGAGGTAACAGAAAGGACACATGGGCATCCTCTGGATTCACAGCCCAAACCCAAGTGGTGTCCTGGCTCTCACTGGCTGTCACTGAGCACCCATTGACAGCATTCTCTGCTTGTTTTAGGTGTCTATTTCCCAGCCCTGACCAGTCTGCTGTCCCAGAGAGTGCAGGAGAGTGAGAGAGCATTTACCTACAGCACTGTGGGTGCTGGCTCCCAGTTTGGGTAAGGTCCTGCCTCCCAGGGATCCAGGAAACTTCCAGCTGAGTTCTCAAGGTCCATCCTTCAAGTCCAGCATTAATAGTTAAAGTAGAGGTGCTTGAGAACTGTTGGCTAGTGCTAGGTTCCAAAGGCTGGTTGCTGTACCTCGTGTCTGTGCTGCATTTGTGAAAGTGCCTTATCTACTGTTTTTGCTGTGACAAAACAAAAAAAGCAGATTAAGAAGAAAGGATTGGGTGTGTGGGCGGTGGCACAATTCTTTAATCCCAGCACTTGGGAGGCAGAGGCAGATAGATGGATCTCTATGAGTTTGAGACCAGCCTAGTCTACAGAGCCACTTCTAGGACAGCCAGAGCTACCCAAAGAGAAACCATGTCTCAAAGAAGAAAGAGGAGGAAGAGGATGAGGAGGAGGAAGAAGAAGAGGAGGAAGAAGAGGAGGAGGAGGAAGAAGAGGAGGAGGAGAGATTTACTTTAGCTTGTGGTTTGCGGGTACAGTCTGTCATTGCAGGGAATTCGTGACAATGGGGCATGAGGCAGCTGGACATACTGCATCACAGCCAGAAGCTGAGAGATGAATACTGGTACTCAGCTTACTTTATCCTTCTTTCTGGGGGTGGGGGGTGGCTTCTTTTTTTACGAGGTCTCACTGCGTAGCCCTGCTGGCATCCCTCTGTCTCCTGAGTGCTGGGGTTAAAGGTGTGTGCCACCACACCCTCTCACTTTCTCCTTTTTAAGAGATTTATTTATTATGTATACAGTATTCTCCCTGCATGTGTGCCTGCAGGCCAGAAGAGAGAACTTAATCTCATCATAGATGGTCAATTCCCAGCCACCATATAGTTGCTGGGAACTGAACTCAGGACCTTTGAAAAAACAGCCAGTGTTCTTAACCTCTGAGCCAGCCATCTCTCCAGGCCCCTCATTTTCTTCTTTTTATTGAGCCCAGGACCCCAGCCCATGGTACGGTGCTGCTAACACTCAGTCTCGTTCTTCCTCTTTCTCCTCAGTTAAACCTTTCTGGAAATGCCTTTATAGACACCCGCAGAGGTGTGTTTCTATGGCGATTATAAATCTTCTCCAGTTGACAGTAAAGGCTAACAATCACAGCATGCCTGTGCCTTTCTGGATGCTGTAAGATGAGGCTCTAGCATGTAGACTAGGTAGGTCCATTCTCTGAGACATCCCTATGTGGGCATCATGGAGGAAGGGCCACTACTGGTATATTGATAGGACCCCTGGGAGGTTAAAGGGGACTTCCTGATGCATTCAGCCTTGGGTCTACTGATGCTGAGTTCAGGATGGGGAGGGAAGGAGAGAGGGAGCTGCAGAGGCTGCCTGTGGAAGAGGTTAACTCTGCCAGGTAGGTTGGCCTGACTTAACACTAAAAACACAGTTCATGCTGTGAAATGTGAATGTCAAAGAAACAATAGGGTTCAAAATCTACAGAAGGGTTCACTACACATCTTCAGTCCCAGTTCTGATGTCCTGCACAGCAGACAGGGTTCTATGCATGGCCAGCAGGGGTGGGGAAAGTACCTGAGCCAGGGGTAGGGAACTGCCCCAGGTGCCAGTCCTGGGACACAGACGAATGCACAGGAAGAAAGGAAGCAGCTCAGCCTCATACCAGAGCCCAGTGTTCTCTCTTTATTCTTGGGCGAGTGCACAAGGTGGGTGGAGGTTGAAGGCTGAAGCAGAGGTGCCCTACATTGTATCCGGGGCTTAGTATCCTGGAGTCAAGGTGAAGGTTGTGGGGCTTGGTGTTGGCAGCCATGCTTTTGCACTTAGAACTTTTTCTGGAATATCATCCTTTATAATATATGGAGGGGGAAAAAAAGAGAGAAATTTCATTTCAGTGTTTCCTAAAATACCTTTTTATCAATGCCTTCACCCTGCCCCTCGGACATCCACATGGCAAATGGTGGGCCAGTTTGAAGGTCTAGAAGAAAGAGATTGAATATTCAGCTGAAGTTCTCATGCTGAGTCCCCTCACCTGCTCCCAAATTCCCCTTGCCCCAACTGTCCCACCCCCAGTCTCCTTGAAGAAAAAAAAATAAGTAAGGCAGGGGTATCTGAGTAGCTCCTTTCCCTGGGGGCTTGACTCATTTGTGGATAGCCACCAAGGTTACTCCAAAACTGCTCTGTATCTCCCAGGACACTGGTGACCGGGGGTATAGGCTCCGTGCTCCTGGACTGGTGTGGCTGGCAGAGTGTCTTCTACTTTTCCGGTGGTCTCACCTTGCTCTGGGTGTGCTACGTGTACAGGTACCTGCTGAATGAGAAAGGTAACTGCAGTCGTGTGGGCCGGTCCCTGTGCCTCCTCCGCTTGCAGCAATACTTCAAACATCTGTGGCAGAAACCTTTTCTGGGGAGAGCCAACGAACCTCTACTCGCCCCAGACAGGGCACCAACAACAGATCCAAGAAACAAGTTCACTCCAGTCTAGCTTAGCTCACCCCAGCAAGGATGACGATGGTGACTTCCCTACAGCTTGACAGATGGAGTCCCCTTCTTAGCTAACCTCCCAAGCCACTTGTGGCTGGGGCAATAGTACAGAAAGCACAGGCAGAAGAGGCTGGAATGTCAGGTGAGGGTCTAATGGCCAACAGACTCCATATTGAGGGTATCTTTGTGGGTAGTCATAGCTGTCTGGGGAAGAGAGTAATAACCAGATCCGAAAACCCAAGTGCTGAGCCCTCAGCCAGCCCCAGCTCTGGATTCTCATCATTCTGTTCCATCAGGGCTGAAACTGACACAGGATGTCTAGTACGTGAAGGCAGGTGGTAGGACTAGGCTGTCTTCAGGTAGCAAGAAGGGGCCTCTGAGGGACTCCAGGCACAAGTTAGACATAGAACTTGACTCTCATGGGTATTGCCACCTGATAGGCACTGTCTAAAAGGGACACTAAGATGCACCCTGACTCCTCTGCTGTGTTAGGAACGACATGGTATTCCTAGTCCTGAAGCTATCACTTTGAAATCATTTGTTCCCACAGACCTTGTCCTGGCCCTGGGTGTTCTGGCACAAGGCCTACCTGTGGCCAGCCCCTCCAAAGTGCCCTGGAGACAACTCTTCCGGAAGGCCTCTGTCTGGTGAGCTAGGGTTGGCATGGCCAGGCAGAGTGTGGGTGAGGACAGGACATGGGGCATGACAGCCACTGTTGCATGGAGCTGGCTATGCTTGGCAGGACCCAGTCCTGACACTCCAGCAAATGCCCCGGATTTCAGAGAGTAGGGCCTTGGTGTCCTTCGGGAAGGAGTGGGCTATACATGGAGTCAGTGTCAAAAGGGGCTGGCAGCTGTTTAGATCCCTGAGCCTGGTACCCCACACAGGGCGGCTATCTGCTCCCAGCTGTGCTCAGCTTGCTCCTTCTTCATTCTACTCTCCTGGCTGCCCACCTTCTTCAAGGAGACCTTCCCTCACTCCAAGGTGGGTCATACTGCTTGGGTCCTCACAGGGTAAGGATGGCTAAGCTTGGGCTGTAAAGGCCCCTGTGTGTGGGTGGTTGCATCCTTGTCTTGGAAACTCCATTTCTCTATGGCCTTCAGGCCTGGAGATGACAGTCCATTTGGGAACAGACACTAATTCAAGGCTATGAGAGCTTTGAGAGCTGTAGCTACCTCAACCCAAGACCTTGCTCTGCTGCCCAAGAGAGCCCCCTCTCTTAGGACTGACTAGCTAATGTGCTGATGCCACATCCAAGGGAGACCTGTGAATCCTGGAGTTCTTGGGCTGTGCAGTCCCAGGCAGACTGGCTTGGCTCTAGCCCTGTTATAATAAGGGGAACATGTAGGGAATGTGGCTTCAGGAGTTAACCATTAGTGGGCTCAGTTCTTGCCCAGGGGGCTAGAAATGGGCTGGTTAGGGCCTGTCTTCCTAGAACCCTCTGCTTTTAGGCCTTGCCTGTGGGTGGGCAGAGTTCAACTGATGTGGCGAGACTGGAGTGGTCCTCTTGCCTGGGTGTCACCTTGAGGCTAGGTGCCACCCTGGCCACCTTTGAGGCTGCACCTCTCCCTGCAGGGATGGATCTTCAATGTAGTACCCTGGCTGCTGGCAATTCCTGCCAGTCTATTCAGTGGGTTGCTCTCTGACCATCTCATCAGTCAGGGTAAGTGTTGGGGTAAATTGTCATAGGTAAACCACATCCTCAAGAATCTCACTCCCCTCTCGCAGTACAGTTGCATCACTGGGGAAAGGCCATACCACCATCCCATGACAGACAACTATCCTTTAGAGTCAGCCCAAGGAATGGAAGCAGCCTGGGGCTGAGGCGCCCATTGTGTCTTTCTTGATCTCCCCTTTAATGGGAAGGATTGGGGGAAGCAAGAGAATCCTAGTGAACATAATCCTGGACCCTGGACAGGGAAAGAAAAGTATCTGGTAGTGCCTGACATCACAGGTACCTAGATTTGCTCTTGAGTCTTCCAGAGCACCGGGGGCCACACTGTAGCCCCTAAGGGGCAATGTCCTTATAGATTCAGGTATGGAAGACACATGTACATGTGTCCTCATTCTCTAGATAAAGGTTTTCCTTAACAGAAAGTAGCACACATTCATTGTGGCAAGACCAGAAAATTTGAGGAAACTCAAAGAAACTGAACTAAGCTTGCCTGATAGCTTGCACTTTTGTAATACCCCATGGGGCTGCCCTTCCATATTTCTACCCAGACTGCACCACAGGAAACCCTCTGACACATATACTGTACATGATAGGGAATCTCTGGTCTTGAGCCCTGAGGCGTTGCCCTGTGTACCCTCTTTCCTCTTCTGTGACTCTGTGGGTGGGACTCTATTGAGAACACCTTTAAGGGCCACCCAAAAGAGCTGATAGAAACTCATCCTGGTTCTGTCTTCCTGTTCAGGTTACAGAGTCATCACGGTGCGTAAGTTCATGCAGGTAGGAAAATCATTTGACTCCCTTACTTTATTTTTCTATTGCTGTGATAAGACACCATGGCTAAAGCAACTTATAGAAGAAAACATTTATTTAGAGCTTCCAGCTTCATATTGTTGGACCCCAAGACCATCATGGTGGGAAGCATGGTAGCAGACAGGCAGGCAGACATGGCCCTGGAGCACTAGTTGAGAGCTTACATCTTGAGACACAGCCACAAAGCAGAGAAAGAAACACTAGGAATGCTGTAGTCTTTTGAAACCTCAAAGGCCACTCTTAGTGATGCACCTCCTTCAACAAGGCCGTACCTCCCAATCCTTCCTAAACAGTTCCATCAACTAGAGACCAAGTATTTAAATATATAAGCCTATGGGGACTATTCTTATTCAAATCACTACATTCCTCCCTGGACATCCCTATTTTGTTCTGGTCTTCTGGGACCTGAGGGTTGTGTATGCAAATCCCCTGATTTCTGGAACCAGGCTGATATCAGGTACAGGCTGGGAAAACTGCAGCCAGGTTTCATAGTCCCAGAACCGTATTTGCTCCTAGGTGTTGACAGAGTCAGCTCAGATTTGAAAGTCTGTAAGATATCAAACCATCAGAGGCCAGTCCACAGCAATAGAACCCAGAAAGAGGCTACTGCAGGTGGCCACTGGAAGATGCTCTGGGGTCAGTATTGGCTAACCTGAGAACCTTCTCAGAGTTCTGAAGATGGTCTCTTCGTCTCTCTGTGTCAGGGCAATAGAGTAGGGAAGGCTGAGCCTGGGAGGGATTTTTAGGCAGAACTATTCTGATCTTGTTCAGAACATTAGGGGTCTTTAAGTGGGGCCAAGCCAGGATGAGCCATATTGGCCAGCATGACTCCTGGCTCCTCACCAGCCCTGTTCTGCAGGTGATGGGCCTTGGCCTATCAAGCGTTTTTGCCCTGTGTCTGGGTCATACTACAAGCTTCCTCAAGGCTATGATCTTTGCATCAGCTTCCATTGGCTTCCAGACCTTCAACCACAGGTAAGGGCCCATGACCTCATACCACAGGGCTGCCTGTTTTTAGTGCATGCTGGTTCAGAGGCCTATGAAGGTGGGGTTAGGAAAAGCTCCCCATAATCTGTTAAAATAAGTAGATCTGGGTACCAAGCCAGGGTCATTCAAGAAAACAAGGACACCTCCTCCAACCCCGTGCTGAGAGTAGGGCCTAGGAAGAGGCATAAACACCAGGCTTGATGCTCCTCTGCAGCCTGTTCCCTTCAGTTTGCATCTTTTCTCTTATTTGTAGTAGTAGCAATCTAGTTAAGCATCTCAAAGATGCATTAGGAACCCAGTTCAAAGCTGTCTTAAACTGACAAACAGCAGACTGCATTTGAGCCTACTGCATGCTTCTCTGGTCTTGTATACCTTCTCAGAATTAGCTTCTAGTGCTGTGTCAGCAAGAGGGTGGGAGAGCTGAGGTGTGGAGTATATGGTGCCAACAGGCCTAGCAGCACTTGGCAGGTAGGGGCAGGGCAGGCTTGGGTGTCTTTTGATGACTTCAAACCCTCTCTTATGTCCTAGTAGCCCCTTCAGGCCAAGTAGAGGTAGCCAGGCCTGTGGCCACTAACCTGCCTTCCTTCCTGTTTGCCATAGTGGTATTTCAGTCAATATTCAGGACCTGGCCCCATCCTGTGCTGGCTTTCTGTTTGGTGAGCTGCTTGCTTATCCCTGCTTTATCTACTGCCCTTGCCAGTAGGTTATCCCAGGGGATGGAGGTGGGAGCTGTAGGATCAACAGTGGGTCTTCTCATGATGTCTCCCTCCGCACTTTCCTGTTCACAGGTGTGGCCAACACTGCAGGGGCATTGGCAGGTAAGGGATGGCTCCAGGCCCAGGCCTAGAGTTCTTTTGTTCTTTTGGTAAAGTAACTTCTACTCCTCTGAAGTAATTGTTGTTTCAGAGGCTCTAACCTAGGCCTAGTCCAGGAAGCTTCTAGCCTCCATACTATCTAATCTAGGCCTAGAATGTCTTCAGCCTCTGAGACTTACTGCTGAATAAGCCCACCCTTTCTAGCTCTTTCTGAACTCTGGCTGGTTGGTTCAACTCAGCTGTTCTGGATCAAACTTCTCTCCAAGCTGATTTGATTCAGTTTGGCTTCTCTCAGCTTCTGACTGAATCGCTCTGCTGCTCTGCTTAGCCTCAAACTAACACTAGCAGTCTGTCCTAATTCTCTGGCTCGTTCTGCCTTCACCTGTGTCTAGCTTGTTCTCTCTTCAATCTCTTTCTGTAAAACTCTCCTGGTAAAAATTGCCTCTGAATTCCACAAACTGAACTGCCATGAACTCAACCTCACTGCACTGCCTCTCAACTCACTGACTCACCCAACTGCCTGAACAGAACTCAGAGATCTGCACGCATCTGTCCCCTAACTGCTGGGATTAAAGGTGTGTACCGCCATACCTGGACCTAAACTTTTCTTTACCTGAAACTTGTTCTATACCAGGCTGCCTTGAAATCAGAGATCTGTTTGCCTCTGTCTCCTGGGATTGAAGGTGTGTCTGTATTCCAGCCAGATCACAGATCTTTTGCCAGAATGACCATTTAATTCTGAATTAAAAAGTCTCTACATTCTTTGTTTTGGGTTAACTAATAAGTGAGCATGGGAAGGAGCTTAGATGGGGTTCATCCCACCTTGCTCATCCAGTGCTGCTGAATGGGGTCCCAAAGTCAAGGTAGGGCATAAGCACCAAGATGGCCCAAGGAGAGTCACAGATATGCCAGCTGAGGTGTCACTTGATTTGGCTGATGGTGGGGGGATCCACAAGCCACTCTCCCCTGACTGACACCAGGTCTTAATTAGTCCTGTAGTTTGGGATACCACCTGGTCCCTCCCCTGAGTATCTGGGCTGACAGACTTATTCTCTACCTTCTGTTTTGTTTCCCTTGGGCGGGACATGGAGTAGGGAGACCATCAACATGTGACTTAGAATGGCCTGTGAGGACTCCGTCTTCTAAGACCCACCTGAGTCTGAGTCTCCAGTGGCCCACAGTTCAAATTTCCAAATTTATCCCAGGGTCTTCAGGGCATTTATATTCTGCCCTGCTCTGCCCCAGAGCTCGCTGATTTGTGGGGCCAGCTTCCCTGGAGCGTCAGTCAGTCTCTGCCTCTCTTGTCCAGGTGTTGTAGGCGTGTGTCTGAGTGGCTACCTGATTGAGTCCACTGGATCCTGGACCTGTGTGTTCAACCTGGTGGCCATCATCAGCAACCTGGGACTGTGCATGTTTCTGGTATTCGGGAAGGCCCAGAGGGTGGACCTGATCCCTACTCATGAGGACCTCTAGCTCCCAGACTGTCCAGTCCCATCAAGGACCCTGATGTCAGCAGCTTAAGGACAACAGCTCTGTTGGTGAAACTGTGAATCATCACCTCACATATAGGAGCAGACAGCCAAGACCATGGTCTCCTGGGGAACGCAAATGAGTTGGAGAGATAGGTAGAAACAGACACCTGAGTACACAATGGCCTGTGTCAGGAGTAGGGTCATGGCCTCTCTGAGCTTCAGTGTATCCATCTGCTGGTCAGGACCGTCCCACCCTCCTCTCAGGTTCAGTGGGACTGCTGCCTGGGATCGTGGAAGCCACATTGCTGACAGGCATCCTCCCCAGCTCCAGTCCATCTGATGTGTTGAGGATGTGTTGTATGCTGGTAGATGTTCAGGAGCAGCTCTGACCCTCACCCACCCCAGGCAGCATCCTACCTCTGTCTCTCCAGCAATGATAACCCAAGTTGTCTATAGACATTAACCCATGTCCCCATGATAAGACAGGCCCACCAGAACCACAGTTCAGAAGCTATGGTTTCTGCTTCTCCCTGGAAGTCAGGCTGCCACTCCAGCTGGACCCGTGTGCAGTGGCCTCGAGGTCCTTGCCTGCCTCTACAGACCCCAGTCCCCTTCCTGTGGATCACTCAGCACTACTGATGTGTCCTGCCTGGTCAGGCAGGTGCCTGGCACTTCTCAGGCTCTGCCTGGATTCTCCAGGTATCACAGACCCCAGAACAAGGTGAAACCTCCCCCCACTTTCTAGCCTTGTTTTTCTACCTCCCCTTTTATACCTTGTGGAGCTGGTGGTTTCATGAACTGATAATGAATTCCAAGATTGTAATTAGATTATCTTTATAGATATGTTGAGTCTCACTAAAGTCTTATTTAAGCAAAAATTATTAAACTATTTAAAAGAAGATTGTTGTTTTGTTTGACACTTTTTGTTGCATGAACTTTTCCTGGGGAGGTAAACAAGCTTCTATTCACCCCTACTTAGATCACTAATGACACACCAAAAAAAAAAAAAAAAAAAATGGTTTCCCTTAGCCAGGCACAGTAGCACACACCACTAATCCTAGCACTTGGAAGGCAGAGACAGGTGAATATCTCTGAGTTCAAGGCCAGCCTGGTGTACATAGTGAGTTTCAGGATAGCCAGGGCTATGTAGAAAAACCCTGTCTCAAACCAAACCAAACCAACCAACAAACAAAAACCCAAGCAAACAAAAATGGTTCCACCCAAGTTTAACTTGATGAGCCAATGAGTTTGGTTTGGGGCTTTTTTTTTGTTTTGTTTTGTTTTTGTTTTTGTTTTGAGACAGGGTTTCTCTGTGTAACAGAGCTGGGAACTCACTCTGTTTACCAGGCTGGCCTTGAACTCACAGAGATCCTCCTGCCTCTGCCTCTCAAGTGCTGGGATGAAAGGCGTGTGCCACCACTGCCCAGTTTACCAATGAGTTTAATTGGAGTTATTTACAGGAACATGGGTAACTTAGAGGTGGCTATACCACCAAAGAAAAGTCTTTCTCACCTAGGAACAAATTGGGGGAGGGGTGGGCTTGCATGTCTAAACTGCCTCATAAAGTCTTTTTCTCCTCTATGAGGGAGTGCTCGTGTACTCCGTCTTATGAGGCTCTCATGCTAGTAATCAGCTGCTCTCATTTCAAAATGGCCATGTCATGCCTGGAAGAGAGCATTCCCCGTGAATCACCTCTAAAAATGAACATATGGAGGCTGGGTCGAAGGCTCAGTGAATAAAATGCTTGTTGAACAGGCATGAGAACCTGAGTTTGGGTTCCCAGAACCCACATACAAAAGCCTGGTACGGTAATGTGTACCTGTGACCCCAGCAAATCCCAGGGCTCACCGACCAGCTAGTCTAAACGGTCGATGAACTCCAGGCGTAGTGAGAGAACTTGTCTCAAAAAAAAAAAAAAAAAAAAAAAAGGAGTACTGTAGAAGAAAACATCTGTCGTCCATCTCTAGCCTCCTCACGCACCAGCATGCGCTAGCACGTGTGTACACACACATCATTGTCTTTTTATTTTTAGAGAATGAACACGTGTTGAGGACATTCTATGATCCACTCGTGAGGAGAGCAGTGAGGTGTCAGCCAGATCAGAGGCAGTCCTCAGAGCAGAGATATCTATAGGCCAGGAGCACTGGCGTAGATGTAAACCCTCACTGCTGCACTTGGGGCATCAGCAGTGTTTTCTCACCTGTCTGCACAACTCAGTAGTGTACACAGATCTCCAGAGCAAGATGCCCTGAACCAGATGTGCCAGACATGACATATGAGTACCATGGTCTCCCAACTTTGAGTAAAAATGATCTTTTAATGCTTAGTTTTATGCATGTGTGTGCATGTGTGTGTGTGTGCGTGTGTGTGTGTGTGTGTGTGTGTGTGTGTGCGCCACATGTATGGGGATACCCATGGAGACCAGAAGAGGACACTAGACCCTCCCCACCCCCAGAGCTGGAGTTATAGGTAGTTGTAAGCTGTCCAGTGTGGGAGAACCAAACTTGGGTCTTCTGGAAGAGCGGAAAATGCTCTTAACTAATGATCTGGCTCTCTAGCCTGGCCTCCTAGGATGGGTCATGATCCCTCAGTCAGAGGAGCTTCCTAGGAACCTCAGGCTGTGCTTCCAGAAGCTCCCATAGTTAAGTTTCTGAGGCTAGGGAGCCATACCTAAGAAGGCTCCTGTGCTGACTAGTGTTTTGTCTATTTAACACTTTAGAGTCATTTGGGAAGAGGAAACCTCTATTAAGAATATGCCTCCAACAGATTTCCTGTAGGCAAGCCTGTGGGGCCATTTTCTTCATTAGCGATCGATGTGGGAGGGCCCAGCCCATTGTGGGCGAAGCCACCTCTGGGCATGCGGTCCTGAGTAGTGTAAGAAAGCAGACTGAGGAAGCCGCGAGGAGCAAGCTAGTAACTTTGCCGAAGTTCCTATCTCCAGGTTTCCACCTTGAATTTCTGCCCAAATTTTTCTCGGTAACAAGGTGTGACCTGAGAGTTGTAAGCTGAAATAACCCCCTTTCTCCTGAATTTGCTTTTGGTCATGATGTTTTACCACATCAATGAAAGCCCAAGGCAGCCCCTTCCTGCAGGTTCTAGGGGTAGAGCCTGCCTGGAGTCAGTCTCCTCTCTGTCCTGTTTACAGGTAAAGTTACATTTATTATCTTGCATTTTTTTAAAGTGCAGTCAGTGGGTGGCTTTAAGCAGATTGCGTTGTACATTCATCACACCAACATCTAAGAACTTTGTCAACTTTCAAAACAAATTTGTCTCTATCAAGTATTAGCTCCCTTCCTTACCCTTAGCTACAATCACCCATCACTACTTTTTGTGGATGAATTTGACTCTTTTTGCACCCTCGTGTAAACAAACTATCACATAGGCTTTGTACCTTTGTGAATGGATCATTTCTTCAGCACAGTGTCCTCAGGATTCACCAATGTTGAGGTAGGCATCAAAATTTCCTACTAGCCAGCTGCTGGTGATACATGCCTTTTAATCCCAGCACTTGGGAGGCAGAGGCAGGTGGATCTTTGAGTTCGAGGTCAGCCTGTTCTACAGAGGGAGTTCCAGGACAGCCAGTGCTACACAGAGAAACCCTGCCTTGAAAAAAATTTTCCTACCTTTCCAAGGGTGGATACTACTCCATTGACTGGGTCTAGGAGACGGTTCAGTACTCATGTTCTTGCTTCATATGTGAGAGCACCTGCGTTCAGTCAATTTCAGTACCACCAGGGTGGAAGGAAAGCCAGCTCCAAATATTTTGTTGTGTGGGTGTAGTGGTTTGAATGAAAATGGTTTGAATGAAAAAGGCCACAGGGAGTGGCCTTATTGTAGCTGTGGCCTTATTGGAGTAGGTGTGGCTTTATTGGAGTAGGTGTGGCCTTGCTGGAGTAGGTGTGGCTTTGTTGGAGGAAGTGTGTCACTAGGGGTGGGCTTTGAGGTTTCAGAAGCTCAAGCCAGACCCAGTGGCTCACTCTTTCTTCCTGCAGACTGCAGATTTACATGTAGAAGTGTCAACTCCTCTCTAGCACTATGTCTGCCTCCATGTTACCATGCACCCTCGCCATGACAATAACAGATTAAACCTATAAACTGTAAGCCATCCCCAATTAAATGCTTTATAAGGGTTGCCATGGTCACAGTGTCTTCTTCACAGCAATAAAAACCCAAACTAAGATAGTGTGTGTATGTGGGGAGGGGGCAGTTTCTTGGTGTGTTGTCCAGGCTGGTCTCTTGACTACTGGGCTCAGTCAACCTACCTCAGGCTCTTGTTAGTTGGGACTGCAGGGATGGGTTCCACTTCACTCATTTGTCCATCTGCCTCTTGATAGATGATGGGTTGCTTGTGTCCTAGTGTGGACCGTGCTGCAGCCTATGTGTGGGTAAAACTGGCACTTCCAGACTTCATTCACGGTGAGCTGGGCAATCTTTGCCTGTGGAGGAAAGTTTCCTTCTCCTGGAAGCCCTGAACCATATGGCCTCTCAATATTTTGAAGCCTCCTGACATGATTCACTTCACACCACTGGGCAGGTCCTGCTGGATACACTAAGGGTATCACACTCCAGTGTGAACTACTGGTTTATGTCTGGTTTCCAGATGCCATCTGTCACTTCTCCAAAGGCTAGATGGTAGGCAGAGGCTGATGCATAGGCTTTAGGGGTGCAGGTACACCATGTCCCTTAGCTGCTTCCCCTGGGCCATCACCTCCGACTCTGGTTCTTCCATCCCCAGGCTGTGTCTGGTGGAAGGAGCAATGCAGGAGTTACAGCAAGATGGGGCTGCATGTCTGTTGTCTGGTAGGCAGCCAGGTCAGGATTAGGGTAGGATGGGTATGCTTCTACCACAGATCTAGGATGAGAGAGGATATTCGTGGATGAGCCTGCAGTAGCTAACTGAGTACCAGTGAAATCTTGTGGATAATTTGTTTGCTGGTAAGTTCTTGCCTTTGTGAGTTCACTAAACAAGAGGCTATAACCTGCCTCCCACAGTTCCAAGGCTCTAGAAGTGGGGCTGGAGAGATGGCTCAGAGGTTAATAGCACTGGCTGTTCTTCCAAAGGTCCTGAGTTCAATTCTCAGCAACCACATGCTGGCTCACAACCATCTATAATGAGATCTGATGCCCTCTTCTGGCCTGCTGGCTTACATGCAGGCAGAACACTGTATAAATAAATAATAAATAAATCTTTAAAAAATATAAAATAAACCCAAGGAGTTCTGGGTAGAATGTGTTGGCTATGGTGGGCAGGAGGCATGTTCTGAGCCTTTCAGAGGCATGTAGAAGGGGTAAGAGGGAGCCTTCCTGGGGAGGACAGAGGTATTAGGATCCTAGAGTGATCATGTACAGGCTGCATTTGGAGATGGGTCTTCACATAAAGACGAGTAGGTGGCAGGACTTTAGAGACACCAGAGTAAATGGTAAGAACAAGTTTGACTTCCTTTTCCTCTCCCCCCTCACTTGTCTAATCCCCTTATCAACTCAGGCTAGCCCAGCTGGGCCCACTTATCCAGCCCTGCACCATATATACACACTAGTCTGGCCTTGTTTGGAGGCAGAGCCACAGTCATCTGGTTCTCAGACCTTAGATTGATGCCGGATTCTTTTTTCCTTTTTTTTTTTTTTTTTTTTTTTTTTCTGTCTTTTAAGGTTTCTTCGTGTAGCCTTGGCTGTCCTGGACTCTCTTTTTAGATCAGGCCGGCCTTGAACTCACAGGGACCCATCTGTTTGTACCTTCCCTAGCTCTGGGAGTGCAGGTGTGCACCAAAGCACCTGGCTCTGCTTCAACTTCTAGAAACATGTTTTTAGAGCTTCCAGGCCAGTCCAGGTCTCCTGTTGGAGCCTCTCTCCTGTAGGCCTGGAATCCGGAGGGCATCTTGGGTTTAGCTTTCTGGAAACG